AGGAATATCAATATCAAATTTTGAGCTTTACTGGAGAGAGGGAAAAGATTTAGGTTTCACTCTTCTTTCCAATAATCCAGTACATATGAGTAATACCATCCTTGCGTTATTGGTTAAAGGTTTAGCGGTCTCACTGGTCTGATAAAGTTTAGATATTATAAAATAGATTTATTAGATGCTGTTGGAAAATAAAATGCTAATCAAACATTCTTTACAATCATTATGTAAACTGACTACAGAAAAACTAATAATGAGACTAAGTTAAAGTCGATGCCATTTTTGTCAGATATTTTTTACTCCCAGATTCTGATAATCCCATCAATTAAAATAAATACTGGCATCTATAGAACTGATTTTTTTGGTCCCTTTTTGAAATAATGATCAAACCACTTCTTTGTTACTTCCTGTGTCTAGCTACAATATGTGGTTCCACAGACATCTTAGGCCCAATCCCAATGATTGCGTTTCTTTCCTTGTGCCCCTCAATTGTGCATTCCAGTGTCCCAAAGTGCGGAAGTTGACCATGCCTCTTTAACACCCTTGATCCACATTTGGCCCAAGTCTGCAAGTAAAGGGTATTACCCACAATCCATTGCTGCATGGGAATTTTGTGAAGGCAGGACAATGATGGCTCAAGTTCATTTTCTGAAAATATGTATTTTCAAATGAAAGAAGTTCATTTTAAGACTATTAATGCTTGTTCTATTCATGCTCTGAATGTTTTAGACTAAGATTTAATGTGAACAGCAATTAATGTAAATTTTGTCATGAAATTGCTTGTTTGTTTGAAAGTTGTTAATAAAGATTTTTAAAACAGTAACACAAACAGTGGCCGGCATGTGTTGCAGTTGATGATGTCCCAATTTGGCAATTATTGGCACACTTGTCTACTATGCACTCAAAACCTTACTGCACTCTTCCTCCAACTGCACTTTGCTGAAGACCATAGGGCGCCGTGCGAGTATTGGGATTGGGCCATAGGCGCTCTATGGACTGGCACTGTCTTTTGGAGCCGCCATCTTAGATGAGTCTTCATTCACCCCCATGGCATTCATTTCTGCTGAGGAAGGTGTTTAATCAAACTAAAAAACACATTATATTATGCTTTTTCATAAAATCAGACAAATAATATGGCATGATAGCTAAAATCTAACTATAATTACTTACACTAATTAAAAACCTCAAAATTAAAATATCAACAGGTAGTCTAGAAACGGCCCAGAAAAGTCCCACATGATCTGCTTTCAATAGTGCGCTGGTTGTTGCAACCGCAGGCTGCACAAAAAACAGGCAAAGTTGCTCACTCTGCATTGACTGACTTCCGTTGGGTTTGGAGAGTGAGGAGACCCACTCAATATGGCAGCAATGCTGTTAGGCTCTCCAGCGCCCAATGGGGCGTCTACGCATTCATGTCTATGAGTGGTTCCACCCACCATTTTTAAACCAATCAGAGCAGTCACGAACCTCTCCTGTAGCTTAAATGCAAAGTTTGACAGATGAAAGTAAATGTTTCGTACCTTTCTTAATTATAGAGGATGTATACCTGTCTGACAAAGCACCATTGTTTTATGAGTCATCCATCATTTAAACTTTAAACAAAAGAAAAGAAATGTGTGTTTGGTTCACTGTTTGTTGTAACAATGCCTTTTGTTCAATGCATCTAAAATATGTGCTAAAATCTGCTGCAGTTTCCTCCTGTAGATGTTTACTCTTGTTTTGAGTTGCTTGGTGGGTTGGATGAAAATGTAATTTACTACTGTAATAGGAGAAAAAGGAGGACAAGACTATCACCATTAACTGATGTCTCACGTGGACCTGAATGACTGACATTAATGTCTTACTTCACACATAGTCTAACCTACTCTAAGCATTCTAAAAAGCAGTGGGATACGACAGAAACCTGGATGTGAATATTCTGAGTAATCCAGGGTTACAGTACTAGCCATCTCACACACGCACAGGAAGGCCCGTGGCTCTTTGTGTTCCCAGTTCTTTCCGTCTACTGTTTAATACACTGCCCTAATCAAACATTAACTAAATTGTTTGACCTAATTTTATCGGGTTGTGTAAACATCAGACTGTGACCTCAAAAGAAGTGACCCTACGTTGTTCATAAAGGTGTGCTGGTAGATCACCAGATGTCTTATAACTTTTTACTAACTAACAAAACAATTCAGCTGTTCCCATTCTTTTTGCTTTATTGAAGTTAACAAGTTTCAGTGGCAGTAGTCGCACCACCAAAAGGAAAAACTGAAAAAAGTAAAACATATGAATGCTAAAGCCTTCTTGTACTCTATACTCTTTTTCTCTCTCCCTGCACAGTCACACACACACTCACTTCAGTTGTCATGTCAACCAACTTATAGGCCAGTACAGCATGTTATTTTCACCCCTGCCCTAAAGGCATATTGGTGATATGTCAAAATAATGAGAGGATACCCTGAATTTACGATTCAGAAACTATCCACAGAGATCACACTGTTGATGATTTTTATTGTTGTTCATCCACATAAATGTTCTTCAAATTCTGCCCAGTTCTGCTGATAACCTGAGATGAAATACATTGGATTCCTTGTTCTGTCCTTCAGTCCACATTTCCTCTCATCGCCTTACACGTCTTTAAATTACAACTGCCATTTGGCCCTTGAACATCCCTAGTGTCGTAAGCACAGTTGCACCTCTTCACTGGTTCTTAGCTTTCAACGAAGCACCGCCCTGAAATGTTCCCAGTACGAGGCCAAGATGAGGTTAACTGAATGCAGATTTGATCTGAGCCATCATGGAGCTCTTAGCTAGCTTGGCTCCAAATGCTTACCCTCACATGTGCAAATCTCACCATCCCAGGTTTTGTCTTGCCTTGCATTTATAAACTCTAATGTTTTGGAAGCTGTTTTTCTTTTTAGCCGAATGTCCATAAAAATATGCTCTAATGGCCTTCAGCCTCTTTGGGTATCTCTCCACACTCAGGCTTTGATTGGCAGCCCAGAGGCTCAGCCAGTATTGCCGTAGTTATCTCACAGCACTGCTCTTGCAGCCACCAGAGCTGTCTGTCATGTCTTTTTTTTTTTTTTTGCTCGCAACCTATAGACGTCAAACAAAAGCCACCTTCTGATATCCATCAAAGCTGGGGGTGATAAAGCAAAGGTTAAGCCTCAGTGGAAGTATGTCATGCTTTATAAAAGAGGCGAATTGTGTCGTAGGTCTTAAAGCAATGAAAACCTCCTAGTTGTGAACCATTTTGAGATGTTGTAGATTTAAAACATAAAAACCTTGTTTCCGAGCAAAAATTAGATAGTGTAATAAATTCTCATTCTTGCTTTCTGTGCCTCTTTTAGACTCTCACGGCATGGATCTGTTTGCGGTTGCAGTCCATGAGTTTGGTCACGCCATCGGTCTGGTCCACACGTCGGCTATGGAGTCCATCATGAGACCATACTACCAAGGACCTGTGGGAGACCCTCTGAAATATGATCTACCGTACGAGGACAAAATTCGTGTCTGGCAGCTCTACGGTAAAATGCCTCCCCTTCCCTTCTGAGTGTTTGGATGTGTGAAACAAGAGGGAGGAGTTGACTTCTGTGGGTTCGAGTTATTGATTAATGAAAACATGGAGGGAGTTAATTGGACCTCTTTATGGTATGTAACCTCCTCATCTGCTGTAGAGAGTAGGAGTGTGCAGGGGCAAAATTAATGACAATGAAAAGGTGAATGAAATGTTGGAAAGAACGCTGAAGGACAGCGATAAAGAGGAGGATGAGTTTAAATGAAGAACACCAACCACACTTACAATCAATCAAACAGACATGGTGACAACACAATTACTCACTGATTTTTGCTGTTTAAATAGTAAATTACAGGAATTCTGGGGGCTGTTTTTCTGTTTGTGGGTTCAATTATTCAAACCAATATAAGCCCGACCAAATGCAAGATGCACAAATCTGTTGTTTGAGATATTTACACTTATAGATAACTATAGAATTCAGTGTAATGTGAAATGAACTGTGATGTAAATGTTGTTAAAGTAACATTGCATGAATTATTTTCACTTTATTAAAATTTAAACCATTTTAAAGTTGCAGTATGTATGAATTTAGTGAGAATTTTAAAGTAAGAAAAAGTGTCTCAGTCATTTTGGAAATAAGGTTATGCTGAAACATATTTCATATCCAGCTGGCTGTTGAGATTGTCAGTTTTTCTCCTTTCAAAGTAAGGAAGGAGGGACATAACTATATACTATTATTTATAACTGTTTACCATCAGTGAGTGTGGGGTTGCCGTGTCTCCTGCAAGCTAATGCTGCAGCACCGATAATTGCAATTTGACGACGGCCGGCAAAAAGCTCCAGAGTTGTTTAAAGTTTTACCAACTTTTACCACAGGATATCATTTTTACTTGATTTCTACATAATTCACCTTTAATACACTTTTTTTTCAATGCATCAAAAACCAGTTGTCATTTTTTTCCCCCGCACACTGTTCCAAATGGCTAAACAACCCCTTTAATTGTGTTATTTGCCTCTTTTCTCTCTGCATGTCCACTCTTTTCCCCAAGCAGATGCACTCTATTGTTCCATAAATCAAATTAAGTTAGAACATAGCCGTTTTTAGAACAATTTTATAATCAGACCCATATATGCCTAATGTTGCATACACAGAACCTTCTGTGAACGTATATCTAAAAAGAATACTAGTGTAAAAGACGCATGGATATCTGTGGACAGTGACGTTTGATGGTGTTGACCTATTTAAGTAAATTCAACACAAATGGCCCTTTAATCACTTTATTTTAACTACATTTACTTGACTTCCCCAGGTGTCAGAGACTTTGTGTCGCACACAAATCAGCCAGGCAATCCCTCGCAGACCCCTGAGCCTCCTGTTCTCCTAGACCTTCCTGAAAACAGATCCACTCTCCTGTAAGTAAGAGATTGGGTGTACTTTTAGCCTAATGCAAATAATTCAGTGTCTAGCGGTCAAACACTAAACGTCTGCATACACGTCTTCCTCCTGATCTCTCTTCTCTTCACCAACCCTGCCAAACACACATTACATAATAAAGCTTGTCATCCTAAAATGATAAAATATAAAGTAGAGTACCTCCTGATCTTTCATGTCTGCTTTTTTATGAGGTTAGGTTGGGTTGAAAAATTCTGCTTTAGATCATTTATTCATTTTGTCAATGTCAGTTCTTTTTTGTTGTTTGACTAAATCACCAATTCAGTTTGTTCCACCGTTGAAGGTTCTGTTCTCATTCTCTTGCACTTTGAGTCTCAACATTCTCCACTCAGTTGTTTTCACTGATCGGCTGATCTGATTTTGTGTTAATTTAATTAACTATGAAACTTTGTCTGTGGGTTTAACTAACCTCCTGGTAATATATCAGGTAAATTTTTAGCCAACCAGTTAAAAAATAAATAAAGAAAAAAACCACCATATCTGCTGTTAAAGACTTAACCGGGAATATAGTTTATGATCCTGAATGAATAAACAACACTTTCAGAGACTTTTACCAAACTTTGTACTCACCACAGGTAAACCCATCAGATAACGAGATCAATTAGTTCCTTGACAGGATAACACTTCCTAAATTATCAGACAGCCAAGCTACAGTCCTGGACTCGCCACTAACATCAGCTGAGTTCCAGGAAGCCCTTAAATTCATGCCTAATAGGAAAGCTCCAGGTCAAGACGAGTTCCCAGCAGAGTTCTACAAAAGAATTCTGGATCATTCTGGCTCCAACATTCTTCGGAATGGTGAGGGAAATCGAAAAGAGCGGCAGATTACAGCCAATATTAGTCTCTTGTTAAAACCAGGCAAAGACCCTGCATTTCCTACCAGCTATCGCCCAATTTCTCTTATTAATGTTGATCCCAAAATAATTGGAGAAGGTAACCCCCTTCATAATACACCCTGACCAAACTGGTTTCATTAAGGGTAGACAGTCATCCACAAACTCACAAAGATTACTTAATTTGATAGATTTTTCTTACGGTAGAAACATAGAAACTAGTATATTATCTCTAGATGCAGAAAAGGCTTTTGATAGAGTTAACTGGAAGTTCTTATTTGCAACTTTACATAAATTTGGTTTTGGGAACGTCTTCATAAACTGGCAACAAACATTATACAGGTCACCAACAGCACGTGTCAGGACGAACGACCAAATATCAGCTAGCTTCTGTCTTCAGAGGGGGACCAGGCAGGGATGCCCACTCTCCCCCTCACTGTTTGCTATCTTTATCGAACCACTAGCAGCAGCAATTAGGCAAACAACAGATATTAAAGGCATTAAATGTAAGAAAATAGAACATAAGATCAGTCTTTATGCAGATAATGTTTTACCTTTTCTCTGGAATTCTGAATCCTCTCTCTCCCAAGCAATAGAACTGATAAACTATTTTTCAAGAGTTTCAGATTACTCTATAAACTGGTTAAAATCCACAGTTCTACTGATTAATTTCTCATTTGTAAATTTGCTTAATACACAATTAGAGTCAGGGAATATCACATACCTGGGAATTAATATCTCTCCCAAGTTGGCAGATCTAACCAAACTAAACTACATCCCACTTTTAAAGAAAGTGGAAGATGATCTTGCGAGATGGAAATCCTTACCGATATCATTCATGGGGAGGGTTGCTACGATTAAAATGATGGTCTTACCCAGAATAAATTACTTATTTTCAATTATCCCAAACAAGCCACCAGCTGACTGGTTTAGATCTCTGGACTCCTCAATCACCAAATTCCTTTGGCAGGATAAACCTCCACGAATTAGCTTAAAAACGCTTCAGAAGACCAAAGACAGAGGAGGACTGGATCTGCCCAACTTTTATTATTATTTCTTAGCCAACAGGCTGCAATATATACCAAGATGTTTGCAAGATAACCCACTAGATGAGTCCTGGTTAGATATAGAACAGACACTTTGCAATACGATAGAGCTTTCAGACATACCATTTATTAGCTCAAGCATAAGAAAACATGAAGGCTTCAAAACTATTAGTATCAGCACCTCTCTGACAGCATGGTGGGAGTATCTAAAAATGACAGTCTTCACTAATACCATGCAGACGCACACCTATCTGGAATAATCCTGATATTTTGCAAAATAACCAAATGATGAACCTTCCCGACTGGAAAAGTAAAGGAATCCTATACCTGGAACACATATATGAAGGATTGGACTTCATCCCATTTAATAGAATAGTCTCCCAATTTGGAATAGATAAGAATTGCTTTTAAGATTATCACCAAATTAAATCTGTAGTCAAACAAAATTTTAAGCTCAATAAAATAGAATTACAAACACCACCAAGGGTATTAGACTTCTATAATCTCAAACCCCCCAAATAACTGTCTAAAGTTTATAAGACACTGTCCAAAATTGGTGATAGAATAGCAATCCCTATTGAAAACTGGGAGGTGGATTTATCAGTCAGCTTTGACCAGAACTTCTGGTCCCAAACTTGTTTAAAAACTTTTAAAATGATCAGACACCCCAATATACAATTAATTCAGTGCAAAATTTTACACAGAGTACACTATACAGGTCATCGGATGTTCAAGATGGGGTTTGTGTCATCTGACACCTGTACACACTGCACAAACAACATTGCTGACAATTACATCCACGCACTGTGGTCCTGTCCACCCCTCCAGGAATTTTGGGGTAGAGTATGTGAAGACCTGTCAAAGTGTCTGAAATGTCATATCCCAGCTTCCCCCTCTCTTTGTTTACTGGGAAACCTGGACGATGGCCCGATTGAAACATCTTTAGTTCACGTGGTTCTGACTGCCATATGCATCGCTAAGATAACTATCCTCATGAATTGGAAAAATAGAGATACTCTTTGCATTAACCAGTATAGAAATCTTTTGTTAGATCATATTGCACTTGATACAGCCTCTGCTTCCACTTCAAATCAATCTCTCTGGGCTCCTTTGATCGGTTCCATCACATAACGATGATGGGGGATCATTGATATTGTCCTGTGGGAAGATGTGGGTGATGGGGTAGAGGGTCTGAGTTTGGAGTATCCGGACGTTCCCTGGAGGTGGGTTCACTAGGGGTGTCTGGGACTTGGGGGCTGCTGCCCCCCTCTGGAGGTGCTTGGGTTGCCTCGGGGGATGGACTACTGGCGGTTGTGAGTGGGGCCCCTTGGGGGTCTTGGCGGTGGCCATGGGTTGTTGCCTGGCAGCTGCATTGCCCCCGAGCGGGTCTGGGTGGGGGCCTGGGGGCTCGGGGTGTGGGGGTGGCCGGCCCCGTGTGGAGATCTGGGCGGGGCCTTGAGGGCCGGGTCCTGACAAGTATGCTGCCGGGAAGAAGGTAGGAACATGCGGCAGTGCCTGGCCCGGGCTCAGGGGCCTAGGGTGGACCTTAGCTCCTCTGCTGTTCCATAACAGGGGAGGGGGATGTCCAGGAGGGGGAGGACCGAACCTTACCTGGATGTCCTATGTCTTATATATTCTGGAAGTTGTGCAAATGCAGGGATGGGAGTAGATATTCTGCTGGGTTGGGGCTGGGTTGGTGCCCTCAGACTCCGTGAGGCTCTGTGATGCTGCTGCTTTGGGCCCTGGCAAGATGGGCTGGGGTCTTCATGTCCTTGGTGTCATTTTGGCAACAGAGGTGCCTTTTGGGGCCAGTGGGCGAGCTGGCTCCCTGGAGGGCTCAAGTCCAACCAGTCATTCCTCCCCATCCCCACACATTTTTCTCCTGCTCCCTCACATCATCACACAATCATGCACATAGGACCTTGGGGGGTGGGCAAGTCAGGGGTTGCGGGTATGAAACCCATTTCCGCATTCCTGTGGCAACCTGCCCCCAATTTTATTTGCACCTTAAGCACTTCCACCAACGACATTCCACACAAACACACACTTAGGGCCTTGGAAGTGAGCATATTCAACGGCATTTGACAGGGGGATTTTTCAGCCTCAACCTGAGTGCCGGTGCCCACTTCCAATTTTAAACTGCACTTAGACACTGAGGGCTTTGGGTGCAAGTGGGGTAGTGTGGTGGCATCAGCCGGCATAGGCCAGACAATGCCCACACTGCCCGCTCACCACAGCCACTGAATACACCTCATCAACACGCACTAACACTATATTGGAGCAGGTGGAGGGAGACTAGGGGTCTTAGCACACCTCTGTTGTCACTTGGCTTCCCGGGACTGGAGGCTAGGAGGGAGATGTGGCAATCTGGTTGGGGTCTGGGGTGGTGGGTTGCTTTGCTTAGTGTTGGGTGGGCAGCCTGCTCATCAGCACCCCAGCAGAAAGGGTCGAACTCTGGGAACTGGTAATGGTTGTACCCCATGGGCAGCAGTGCCGGGACCAGAGGGAATAGGGTGTGTATGGGGAGCATGAGTGGGTGTCCGGCGTGCATTTTTGTAAGTCTTAGGTTGTTTGTGTATGTGTGAGCATGAGGGAGGGAGTGTGTGACTGTGTTTGTGTATGACTGTATATGTCAGGTGGGGCCTTTGACTCCTCCCTTCTCCTGGGACTTTTGATGCTATACATCTTCATCTCCCCTCCCCCTGCCACACCTGGTGTGGAGTGTGGTGCCTTGGTCTGCCTGAGTGTTTGTGGCTTCCGGGTCAAGGGGTTTAAGATGTTTGGTGTCTGCCTGATCAATCCCGGTGGCTGCCTGGTGAAATCTGGGTCCCTGGGCTCTGCTGGGTCACTGGCGGGGGTGGTCGCCCCTGGGTCCCGGGTTGCTGGGTCCCGGGCTTGGCCAGCTAGGGGGTGGGAGGCTGCAGGTGGGCCTGTGGGCTTGTCGCTGATATCTCCCAGGACTCTGCCGGCTGCTGGTTGTGGCCCCCCGGGGCGATCCTCTGCGCCTCTTGAGGGGGGCAGGAGCTTTTCTGGTCGCGGTCTCCTTGGGGTCCCTGTGCTCTGGGGCAGCTCCTGGATCTC